GAAGGAGGAGTTTGAAAATTTTTTTGACAATATAGAAAAATTTGTCTTTCATTACTCTATAAAATCCTAAAACGCGAGATCAAACGGAGCAACTTTTCGTAACCGGCGGAGTCCATTGAAAAATACTCTTAACTGTTTCGTGAAGAAAGGTTTCTCAGTTGATACACATGCAGACTCAACGTGATCCGACTCAGAGATGTAGAATTGATGATCACTAATGAGTACAGCTAGATAGACATGACGATTCAACCTAACCTAATACGACAAAGAAGTACAAAACGACGAGATCTAAATGCTAGTACTAGCCAAAGACTGAAGCACCATAAGTAATAAGTAAAGAGCAACGTGCTGTACGTGGATTTTATCAAACTCTTAAGGACTTACTATTTGTCAGCCGGTCATCATCTTACTTGAGTATGTAATACTTAATCCGGTATAAACTTGTTTCTAGCGTTGCAATGCTATGAACACGATTTATGCATCAATTGTCCAGATTTAGCTGGAAAAGTGAAAACTTGTTCAAGTAGTGAAACTAAATGCTGGGTAATTTCTTTTCCTGTCATCTTTGTAACCAAAATTTGCTTTATTTGAACATATATCTTTTTTTATTAGAAATTAGCTATTCCGTTGAGAGGTGTCAAAAGAGGATGTGGTAAGTGACAGAGTAATTTTCTTACATTCTTCTGATTGTACTTCTTATAGGTGAAAATCGTTGTAACGTTCAAATTGATACTGGTGTATTTCAAACTGCAAATCTTTGCTGTGATTCAAATTTATGTAATTCGGCACCAAAATCAACAAATGTGTTTATTGTTGCTAGCACTAGTGTTATTCTTGGTCTTGTTCTGTATTATTATCATTAACGAATAATTATTGGCGTAATATTATTACCCATGATAAACTTTCGTCTTTTTCACGTACAAGGGATTTTAAACTTTTATTTTTATTTTTATTAAGAATTTCATGACTTATGCGGGCGGGGGGAGAGGATACTGTGGGCATTTTTCTAATAGCAAGCGAACATAGAATGTTTTGCTCGTTTATTTTATTTTTTCATGAATAATTATCATTTTTTAGTCATCTCTGATGCTTTTAAACAACAAAATAAACGTTTTCAGAAAATTTCACTTTTTTTAAACAATCTGTCTTGTAGGTTCAACGGAAAACTTTTCATGGATATTTTTGTGATACAAAACTTATTGTATTAAGCATGGATCGATGTAACTCTACGCGCTGATTCCAAAATATGTCATTGGTTTTTGATAAACAATGCTTTTTGATCAGGAAAAGTTAATTTTATGTGAAAACGCATAAAGTTTTAGGATACTCACCATATAATCATCCATATAGTATATAGAGGAGACGCTTTCGGAACATTTTTAGCGTGAAAAATAATGTTTTCTATTTGAGCTATAGTACACTCTAGACAATTCTTTCGTCAGTAAGTAGTGCACAGAATAGCACATCAACATCAGTATTGTTTTCAATGGTCAAAAATAAGTTGCTAAAAAAATTAATTTTCGTTATTTTTATCAATATTTGCGTGAATGTTTTAATTCAGCTTTTACTTTCGTTCCGCTAATGATAAGAAGTTGTTATTCTAGAGAAAGACAGCTACCATACCCAACTGTACGATCATTCAATAAAGATTGAAAATGTTAACTTCAACTTTTTTTCCAAGTATTCGTAACCACCTGGTTGCGAAAACTAGTTGTATATTTAATTAGCAACTAACTGCTATAACTTAATCCCCATAACGTACAAATTACCGTCAGAATCAGTCATAAACGCTTCTTTAACTTCGATTAAACGCTGGTATATTGGAGTTTGTTCTAAATGTTGATGGTGATGCTTATTAGAATATTCAACGGCATGAAATATATCGAACATAATCATCCGACGTTATACATCTCTTTTACCCAAGATATTATGAACAGAAACTTTAAGATCTTGCGTAAAAATTGTTTACATTGTATTCTCATGTATGACAAAACATGAGCCTGGCCATCAGAGATATGTCCATATATCATCATAGACTCTTTCTTAAATAATTATATTCATGGAGGAAGCAAACTAGAAATTATACTAAGTATGGAAATTATCGCACTTATATACAAACAACAGTATAAAACAAAACGGTGCTTCAAGAATTTTTCAAAATTTTAGATGCAAGATTCAATCACTCACAATCTTAATCAAGATCTTCGTAAAAGTTTAGAAATTACAAGAACTTTCAAGAATCATAAATCTTGAACGTTTTCAAGACCTAGGATTCATGAAAGTTGTTTAACTTCTAACATTTTCTTACCAAGATCTGGAAAAATCCATTTCTTCAATGTGAATGTTGTGCTTGGCTTCATAGTACTTACGTCATCAACTCTGAAAATATGTTTAGTTTTATTCTCACAGTATTATCAAAAGCAAAACAGAATCAGATTTCTCTTCGGAGAGGACAGCGTATTCGTTTTTTTTTTATAAAGAAAGAAACATTACGCGTAATCGATAATTAATATGAAACAGTTGTCATCTCCGTAATACTCGCGTTGGTGGCGATGGTTAATGAACCGGTGCAGTAAAGAAAAGGGCAGAAACAAGATATCGTTTTTTAACAACGTTTAAGTGAAATCCCTCACAAATTCGCTATTTTTTTAGAAGAAAACTATCCAGTAATCTGTTACGTAAAGTTAAAAAGAAAAAGTATTTACAACTATTTCTGTGAGCTTATGGTTTATGTTAAACTAATTTCTTTCAATAAATGATTCTGCTCGTATATAGTTCTTAATTTCTTTACTTTTCGAGTAATTCTCATAGTTTATCAGCCTTCTTGCATTTCTTCTAGATCTGACTTGTACAGTGTACATGTTGCATCACTTCATGAGTCGTTTTAAGAATGATTATGATCGTGTTTATCTTTAAATCTTCTGTAATTCATTGATCTCTTCTGTGCGAAGGAAATCGGACTTGGAAATCGAGAATAGACATCTACATGAATCGTAGGTGTAAGCGCTTATGAAAAAGAAACTGAGATAGGAGGGCATTCATAATATCGAAAAACTAACACATTTCTGGTTTTTGAAGAAAATGCTCAACTTTTCCAAATAGTAGTATGTCTTGTCCAGCGAATAGCCTGGGTCTATCTTTCAACATAACATGTTATAACAAAAGAAGTGAAGAAACGAGATATGCCATGAAACTTTTATAGTATAAATTAACTGACATGTTTTCAATTTCCGTTCTTTTGAATAAGTTTAAATGAAAAGACAACAAAAACAGCTTAAGTGGTATATGTATCATGTAATAAGTTGATCATAATTTTATGTGTATATGCAGAAATATTAGTATGTGTATGTTGTTCAAATAGTTCGCAATTATAAAACATTTGATTTATAAGTGTTTTCTTTGAACGGTAAACATTTGATTAACGTTAACATCAACTTTAATTAAGAAGTATTGTAAAGCAGGAGTTAATAATCATCGCTAGATACTAGTATTCGATGATGATACTACCACTTTTCTCTGACCACGTCAGTATAGAAACTATGTTCATATCGACTATAGTGAATTTTTGGTAGCAGTCGTGGTATAACAACGAACTTTTTACTCATCATTGATCTCGAGAAAGCGCAGTGTTTTACTTTAAGTTAACCATCCAAAATTTTTTAACGAAGAGAGCTTTATGTGGTTTATAAGAGCTCGCCAAAGTGAGGCTGAGACAAATCTCTTCCCAAAGTCAGTTTGTAGCTTTCATCAAATAACAGATAAAAGACACGAAGGTAAAATTAGACTGTAAAACATCTTTAGTCACAGTAAGAATCTGCTTTCGATACTTTCGCCTTTACACCGCTCTTCTCACTCACAACTTCGCTCGTATAAATCGATTGATCATTCTTTTATTAGAGTTCTATCGTAGAGCGTAAATTCGTCTTTTTCTTGATGTGGCACGCAGAATCTGTATGTCAGGTTTACGATAGAACTCTATTTATTCTTTCGTTATTTTTCGTATATATAGATTCTTATTAAGCTTCTTCGAGTGACTATATCATTTCGAAAGCACATCAAATCACGATACGTGTTACAATTCGTATAAATTTCATACGAATTGTATTGACTTATGTTACACACAAAGGTTCATGATTATACTTGTTGCATTAGTAGCATAAGTATGAGACGCCTTGAAGTGTCCTCTATTTGGTATCCAGATGGCTAACAGTAGCCGTCAGCGTGCAGTAACTTCTGAAACAAAATCGAATCAACTGTAGGTTTCACTATCATTAAAGTTGTTTACGAGTTTCTATGTGATAAAAAGCGATCCCAACCATCAACACTGAAAATAAAATTTGATTTATATCTCTTCGATAACGTAAAAACTTAAAAGCTGTGGAGACAATAGATAGACTTCTGTTCAAATTACTATTTGTTTGTGCAGTTTATGTTTTTGATGATTCAGTCACATAATGTGTGTATGTGAGTTTAATGATTTTGTTGACCCAACCATTGCTAATCCGTCACTGTGTACTCATATATATATTTTTCTTTTATTCAAAAATATTCGCACATGTCTTCTTTGATTATTTTAATTATATCTTAAGTTCATCGTCAACAACACAAAATAGTTGGTATATTGTAAGCGTGTTGGTTTTTGAGGTATACATACGCTTTTCATTCTTTTGCCAGAGAATCTTTCGTCTATTTGAAGAAAATTTATTCCATTGAATTCATTTCATTCTCTCGTATACGCGCACAATGTTCATTGCAATATCATCTAGAAAGACTATCTGTAGTGCCCACGAATGACAAAAGAGACTATGAACATCAAAAAAAGAGAAAAAAACTGAAATTGACTGAAAGGGGGGGTGTGTGTACACACACTTTTTCGAGAGAGATATCTTATAAAATACAAACTTAATAGATATCTTTATTTCTATACGAACAACAAAAATGATCTGTATAGCAGTGTATATATATACAGCTGTGAAGAAAAAAAATTTCGTGCAAAAATTGGTCAAATTTTATTTTTCTCTTTGCTTCGCTCTGTGTTTTGTAGGGTCTACTATATAATCTCTAACATTAGACTATCTATAGTATTGTTCCAGATCTCTTCTTTCTTCTTGCTTTCTCTTTCTCTTCGATTTGAAAGGCTGCTGTTGTTGCTGCGTTTTTCTAAAGCGAAAAAGTAAGAAGAGAAGAGAGTGTATCATATATATCCACTAGAACAAACTATTTCGTTATTGACCCTTTAGAAAGAAGCATACACATACCTACACACGAATTTTATTCGATATAACTATTTCTTTTTATCAACTTTAAGTACCAAAGAAAAATAATGAAAGTTATCATCGTTGCTTTGTTTGTTATTAGCTGTATTGCTACCAGTCAAGGTAATTTATCTCTAGTTGTTTTTCTTCTTAGCAGGGAATTATGCATAGTGGCGTAATTTCACTACTGGTTTTATCCTTCAAACAGAAGATCCGTTCGAAAAGTTTTTCAAACTTCTCTGCACCATTTAACTCTTAAAGAAAAATTTTAGTTATGAATTGTTTTATGCCATTGTCATAGGATACGATCTTTTTAATTGTGTGTCTTTCTCTCTACGACCAAATTCATCATATTATACAAATTTTATTCTGCCTAATGTGTCTTTTTATGAGTGAGATATATCATCTGCTATAACGATTACTATAAGTTTTCATATAGTAACCAACTAACGCAATGTGAAAACTGCATCCTTAGCTGATAAGGCAGAAAAAATTGAATGAACTTATTATAAGAGAATGAGACTTAATGACATTAATAGTTTCAAATCTTGATAAATTGTTGTTCGTTCGTTGTAGCACTTCAATGTTACAGCCACGAACAATGTTCATCAAATTGCCCACAACTGGCAAATACAATTAAAACATGCACTGGTACCGATAACAAATGTTACAAAACTGCAAGTGGTGTTGGTGTTTCACGTGGTTGCGGAAAAGATCGTTGTGATTTACAAATAAATGCCAATTCAATAATGGCTAATGTTTGTTGGTACGTATTACAATTGACCGACTGAAAAAAAAGATGGCTGTTCTACTAGTAATCATTTCTCATACTTTTAGTGGTAACGATTTGTGTAATACGGGTACAAAAACAACAACAACAGCAACATTCGGTGCTTTATTAATTGCTCTTGGTGTATTCTTCTATGGACGTATGTAAGCATAGGAAACAATAGAAACATTAAACTTCAATTATGCATTACCAGCAATCGTTTATAAGATACATTTTTTCATTGTTGTCGTCGTTTTTTAATGATATCTCATCGTCATAATTAATCCTGCATTTTAATTTCTTCGCGCACTATGGGTATTTTATACATTTTTAACTGATAAACAAAAAATTCGTTCGTTTTAACTGTATCAAAGTATAACGTCGCTGTTTGTGTTTTTTTATGTGTGCTTATCTACCAATTTTTTTCGACTTTAATAAAAAAAAAACAGCATAACAATGTTCAATCCTGGCCGAGATAAAATATAAATGAATAATTTTCTGAGTAAACAGTAAGTTTATTAGTAGAAATCTTTTTTTCTTAACTTATTCTTTGCCGTCTTGATGATGCGCTATCTCAACATCTGCTAATTGAGGTCGGTATAAGATGTTCAATTTTTCACTATCGTCTGGATATTCATGAAGCAACTGATCCTATTTTGAGAGCACCACGAAATTCAAAAAGGTGTTCATGGTGTTTTATGTTCGTCTAATCATTTTAAACGTCTTTTAATTCTACCATTTCTTTAATTATTTTCCATTTTGGTATAATTATAAACAAAACTAACGGCTAACTCTTCTGGAAGTGCTTTTGCTTTCTCCACAAAATTTGCTGTGTGGATTTGGCTAAACGTCAAAATTTATATCTTTCTCTTTGAGGCTAATAAATCAAAATAGTCTTATATTTTCGAACTAATTAGTATACGATCACTGCGACATACTCTACATAAAATATGATCTGAACACGACTATAATCAGACCTATGTTAGATAAATATGAATAGAGTGGGTAAAGTTAGAAAAGATCCCGTATATAAAAATAAGATCAAAGGCGGTGCGGTGTGCGGAAGCAGCCAGATGAAAGTGAGAAGACTGATAAAGAGAATCGGGATCTTTTGTGCATTTTTTATACAAGTTTTTATATACGGAATTCATTGTGCACTTTCATCGGGATCTTTTAAATTCCTGTTCGAAGACAATTGTTGCCATATAGCGACAGAAGATGTACAGAATAAAACTGAAATGACCAATTTTATCTCCAGAGTGAATCACACAGTAATTCCTATTGAATTATCATGCGGTGACATTCTTCTAAATTCTGACATTAAAAATCCCAATACGTATTCGAAAATAGCTGTAAAGTCCAAAAATGTTTCAATGCTTCATAGTTCAAGAGAATGTCACCAGCTGAAACCTCTAGGGATTCACGAGAACTCATAGATCCTTTTGATTATTTTAAAGAACGAGGGAGGATTTTTTAAACGTCTACGTAATTCTACTGGTTTACTAAGACATCCATAGGATTTGGGATGATTACTCCTTCGAGTACTCATTTTTTAAAAAAGAGCTCTTACTGTAGCCAAGATAAGATTTATGTTAGCACGAGTACTTAATGAAAGAAATTTTAATGAAAGTTTATTTTGACCTCTTTTAATGTTAACTTTAACGCTGCCACAAACTTTCCAACAACTTATTTTGTAGAGAAATGCCAGGGCTATGATCTGACGTCATGAAGAACAATTAGTAACAAATAGTTTAAGAAGTACAATTATTTTGGCAGATGCACTGGAATGAAAGTAATGAGTGACTAGTACAAATGTCAAGTTCCTTTAGAAATCTCAAAAGCACATAATAGACTTCGAGAGCACATCATGGAAAATATTTCATTGAAAAATTGTTTTTGAACAACTTTTGCTTTAAAAATACTACAGGAAAAAAATCATAAGATTTGCGCATTATGTTTCATTGAATTGAGCTGAAATCTTTTTCATAGAATATTTTTACACTCTTCAAAACGTCAAGAATGCTTCAGTTATTCATTTTGTTATATTTATTTATGTTATAGATTTAAACAAGATGCATAAAAGTTCTGATCTGTTCATCTTAGAATAAAAATAAAATAACAGAACAGACAAAAACATAGCAGAACTTCTTTACTAGGAAAAATTATGAAAACTACTGGATACTTTTGGCGGTTTTTTTATCAAAACAAAGAAGTTTAGTAAGGCATTAAGCTCGAAATAGTATTCTATTTATAGCGGCATGTATTCTCAGCTATACAGAAGGATCGGTAGACGGAATATTTAGTAAACTGAAGCACTGTACCACCATTTATCGCAATATCTATTACACTGGAATATGGGAATTGTATTATTCCAGAATCGAAGTTGAAATTACTTGTAAAAGAATGTAGCTAATGGCATCTCCTTCATATTGACACAATATAAATTTTGTAATCTCAGCTACATTATGAATGAGCCTTCAGCAATGTATATAGACCTATAACCGTGACTGGGGACGGAGAACGAGATTATCGCCAGTTTCGTAGAGAAAAAAGAACATTACTAACTGCGATCAGAACCGGATGTTTCGAAAAAACGATCAAAAAACCGACCGTTTCATACGCGGTTTTCAGCCAAAAAAGCGGTTATTCCGTCGCAAATCGTCAGTTTTCACCGGTCTTTTTGCTGATGAGTGAACCATATAGAACCGTTTTTTGTGACGCTTTTCGTGTTTGGAAATTTTGCTAATTTTACCAGTTTGTGTATCAACAGTGTGTAACTATTCAGGTTAAGTAGATAGCCGACTTAGACTGTTTCTTGGTATTGTTTTTAGGATAGAAATGTTCAAAGTGGACATTACTTTCGCTCAGAAGGAACAACTGCGCCTATCACGTTTTATTCTCATTTGAGAAAGAACTCCAAAACTGTGACATGCTTTCTGTATTCCACTTGTCTCTTAGCACTCTTGCGTAAAACAAGTTCACTATTTTAACTAAAGTTACATATTTTATGTTTTGATTGTTTAGTTTTTGAAAAAGATGAATTAAAAATCTTGTTCTTCTTTCTATACAAAACCTGTCAAAAACATTGAATGGTCTATTCAGATATTCAGACTGTAAAAAAAACTATATTATAGCTTTTTTACAGTCTGAAAAAAAAACTATATTATAGCTTTTTTACAGTCTGAATAGAAACAGTTATAATCTTTATTTACTCACTCACATTCTTTTGACATAGTCCTAATATTAATAGTTAAACAAGAGGATAAAATAAAGTATAAGGGAACAAAAAACGAAAAAATGTAACTTAGATTCATTGTTCGATCAGAATTATAGTAGTCTCCATTTAATATTTTTAAATATAAGCTCAGAGAGAAAATCTTCTTCAAAATACAAACCAAAATTTAGAAGAATATTCTATGTTAAATCGCTTGTACTGTTTCATGTACAAAATAATAATTGGTTGGCATCAATAGATATCGCCGTGGTGGTCGACGAATACTAGGACGTTTTGTTTCAGTAGCCACATGTGATAACGTCTTACTATCAGACGGAGATATTTGATTTGTATTTTGTGTTAGGATCTGTGACGGTAGTTTGGAAACGTACCGAGTGGTACTCCGTGAACTTTCTAAAGTTAGAAGAAAATAAGAGTTGCAACAATTGTAAAATGTTGATAGACACTCAATTTCAATTATTCTTTTAGATTGATGAAAGCGTGTGCATGTTTTTAACTCTAAGAGACGTAATCTCTTGGCAAATCCGATAGAAACAGAATATCTTTTGATGAAACCATATAAAGTTCTAAACTGCTGAAGTAAACCGATTATAAACCGTGTAATGAAAGATTGAACGATTTTCATGACAAAAACATATACTCTCAGCTCATATCAAATTACATATTTTTTAATGCTGTCAAATGAAATGAGATATGGCTTCGTCCTTTTAAATTACATCCAATTTAGTGAACTAGAAATACCAATAAGGTATCATAGCATTTACACTGTAGATTCAAGTTTCATAACTACAAGAGAAAAGAGGATTTCGTTGTGGTCATTTCTGTTGCAGTCTCATATACCATATCGCGAACGAATTCTATGTATTTAGTTGAAAGGTCTTTGAACTTTTTTCCATTCGTTTTTATTATTAAATATATTGACTAAATGTTTCGATATGTTAACATATCATCCTCAGGAGTTAAAAGCAAAATGGTTTATAGATCCCAGGTCGGACCGTACGCCCGTCGTACACGCACATCACGTTCTGTACACAATGTGCACATGACGTACGCATACGTCATACGTATTTACTGTACAAAATGCATATCATGCGCACCATGTACCATTTTTAGAGGTTTATCATAGATGTCAGATAAACATGTTACTATGGAACTGTAGAGAGAGAAAACCAGGTCACACTCAGTAAGCGCACCGTGCATACACGTTCGTCATGCGTATCAATCGAAACGTACGTCACGTGTACAGAGGGTGACGTGCGCGTACAACGGGCGTAGTGCTCTACCTGGAGACCCACAATCTAAAGTTAGAACAATTTTTCAAAATTTGAAGACAATGTTAAAATGATGTTTACAATGATGTTTACAATGATAGAATTCCAGGAGTTTATAAACATCATACATAAGATTTATCGATATATTTTTCTTATAATCTGTTGTCTCAGATCATACCTCGATCATTCTCGATACAGGATTACTTTTTCTTCTTCTTTTCTTTCTCTTCTCCTGCTTTTAAACGATTTTTCTTTCCTTTCTTTATCCGTCTGTACGTTTAATTCTACCACTGTCTTTTTTTAACCATTTCTATTGTTAGTATCTACTGATGTGATTCTTGTTTTATTGTTGTACGATTTGTTGGCAATAGAATATACACTTTCTAACCTTTTTCGTTGAAAATGTTTGACTCATTGTCGAAAATGACACTCTTCGAATTTGATTTCTTTTTTACATGAAACAGCATGTTTAACAATCTCTGACAATTTAACTTTTGCTTTGGCTACGTAATTTTGATGCTGTTGAACTGTTCTGTCGAAACACTCCCTGTCACCTACATACAATGAATTACATTCGCAGTAAATGCTGTAAATAGCATTTTTGTATCCTATATAATTTTTGTATCTCTTTTTAAATTGGTTACACGCTATCATTCTACATA